TAATAATCCTAAGAAAAACAATAATGGTCCATAAGCATTTCATGCTTTGGACCCTTAATAATCCTAAGAAAAACAATAATGGTCCATAAGCATTTCATGCTTTGGACCCTTAATAATCCTAAGAAAAACAATAATGGTCCATAAGGACTTCGTCCTTTGGACCCTTAATGAATTTAATCTGTTCCAGACCTCCATATGATTGCATATTTAAACTTATCTACCTACCTAATAATAAAAAAAAACATGAACAATCAACATAAAACTAATACCCACATGAAAAAGAACACATACAAAAACAATAAACATGAAATAAATGACAATCCCACAATCTGCAGTGAGAGCAGACACACGTGCATCACCTTCAAGTCTCGCTATCATTTCCTTTTAAGTTCTACAGTTACTCTCACTGCTTTCCTCTTTGGTTTGCTGCTATCACTGCTCACTTTCTTAGGGGCCATGATTACTATATCACTAAATGTACTGTAGCTAAAGCACAAAAAAATCACACTGAACACAGAAGCACAGCTTTCGTACGTCAAACTCGGCTGAGTTACGGCGAGATTAACTGCGATTCATAAGAATCAGCATCCCAGTAGGCCCGTCTGCCTTTATTTAGCCCAACAGAGATGCGTCTCGATCCGTATTAGTTTTAGCGTGTCTGTTTCGTTTTGTCATGTTTTTCGGTCGACTTGCTAGGTGTTTTTTGACAGACCCATTCAAAGTTCAAATTGGTTTAGTTGGACACGTCTCGACTCATACAAATTTTAGCAGGAACGGTCAAGTTCCAAGATTTTGGTTGTGGTACAGTACAAGTTGAAAAAAATTTGACAAACCCATTTGATGTCTGAGTTGGTTGAGTTAAGAGGCGTTCGAGTTCCAAGGTTCTACTGCATATTTCACTGCAAAAACAGATATTACACACAAGCATGGTAGGAGCACATATAATATCAAGCAGTTTAAGCAGTAATATATGTCACTACATATTAAAGATCAGTTACAATGAGACCAATTTAATTAGGATGTTTGTGCTTGGAATAATAACTAATATAAAACAGAATCTAAGTCGTCTAAATCATTTTTTTCCCACTAATAGCTACATTCAGATATTTAATGATAATTAGATCTAAAGATATTTATCTTTTTTTAATTAGAACGTAATGTCAAGAATTAACATTAAATCAAAATAAGGTCATACATGCTTTGTTAATATCCATAGGCTGTGTATTTTCAATCAACCTTCATTTATATAGCACTGTTTTAACCACATGGTTTACAAAGTGCTTAACAGACATTTTAAAACAAGAAAAAATAAGAAAATTATAATAAGAAAAAAATAATGAGGATAAAATACAAACAGAACCGTGGGACCGTAACCCCTACAACACCGGGGACTTTGGTTAAAGATTGAAAGTTTACACTTTTTTACCCCATGATTAATGATAATGATAAATGCTTTATTTTCCATTTGCACATGTACACAATGTCTATAACTAAAACGCTACACATTTCCTTGTGAGATTTATCATGCATATGCATCATTGCAGTAGTTTTTGTCTCATGTTTAATTCCTCCAGCACTGATTTCTTTTCAATTTTTTTCCAGCTGTCAGGAATCGCACCTTCGCCTTTAAATTTGTATCCACATCTATGCCCCCACTCCTTCTGAAACCTGAAAACAAACCATTTCCAGTAACCCTGTGTGCTCCCATCTGCGGTGATGCTCCACTTATCATAAGGGTCACCACCATCTTTTTAGGACTTATAGGGGATCGTTTTTTTTATCTGGATGGATCATGAATGAATCATCACTGCTTATTTTAGTACTGCAGAAATCAATTAAAAATTCATCTGTTTCATGATAATGCCAATTACCTAGAGCAGGGGACCGGTGAAACTGCATGGTGTGGTCATCAGAATGGTCACAGATTGTGTTTGTGCAGATGGCCTTGCAGAAAGGGCACTGAGCCCAACATCATTCCAGCTGTTTATAGAGAATCTCTTTTATTTTCTGATTCAACAGGTATAAATGTTGAGAAGATGCATCAATACTTTCCATATTTTCACTTTTAACCACCTCTTCAAGATACTTGGCCGTCATCACTTTCAGAAACTTTGTGTCACTAATGTCTTCATCCTGAATGCTTCTCAGACTCTCCCTGTTTATGACCATGTGGGCCCCAAGTTTTTTACAGAAATGATCGAGCCACATGGATGCATTGCCGTTCTTCAGGTTCACTTCCTCACATACCTCTGTGCTGATATGTAACATTTTCATGAAGCATGTCCTGCAGATATTTGTAGTCTTTGCAAAATCTTTCACACATGTTCTCCAATAAAACTTTTCAAATACATCTTTGGGTTCAAAATATATTTTTTGCATGACTGAAATTCCTCTTGATCTGCAAGATTCCTCAGTATATGATTTTCAATGTTGCATCTGTTGCCACTGAATGCTGGGTTGTTGCATTTCATAATATTGACGATGTCCAGACAAATTCTATTGTAAATTGCCTCTTCAGCTGCAGACAGAATGTTTTTGGATAAAAATTCAGCAAAAATTGTCACTGAGTTGGCTCCTTTGCAATAGTTTTGGAACATCTGGAAGTACTGTTCCTTTTTACTTTACAGATGTTATCGAATTGTTAGCTTTCTTGAATGACGTGCATTTTTTGAAACCTCTGGACAGAACTGAGACAAACAAGAAGTGACAAGTCAACTCTGTATTCATATCAGAGCATGTGAGCGGAGCGGTGAGAATTTCTGCTCCTCGCTCACGAGGCTGTTGGCTCCGCCCGCTCCTCAGCTCTAATTCGCACTAAGCCGCTCCGCTCAACACCGCTCCTCGCTCCACTAAAATTTCCCCCCCGCTCCAGTCAAATCGCTCCACACTCGCTCCAATTTAAAAGAGGGACAAATAATCTGTATGCCTAACAAATGTCACCTTAAACCGAAGCCTTATATCATATATATTGGCTTAAAAATAAAGTAATCAGTGGACTTAATAGCCTAAAGAATATACAGGCTAAGCATCCACGTTTTAAATTCCTCAATTTTTTTTCTGTTGATGCTGCTGCTGCGTCTCTCTATAAAATAAAATTTCACTGACAGCCCCAGTGGGCACAACATGTGTAATCCACGTGGATT